TTTTATATCTCGTTAATTAAAGATAGCGGGTATCGATCCTTAATAGTAATCGAATTTAAATATCGGTAATCTATATAAAGTCGAAGACTCCTATCCTTCTTTAGTACGAAGATAATAGGATATCTAGCCGCTAACTTCGAGACTCGGATATATCCTTTTTATAGGTTCTCCTAGATATATTCCTTAAGTATATCGGACTCCTTTTATAATAACTAATAGATAGGTATAAAAGTTAGTTTAATACCTTTTATAGTATTAATCTTATAATTAAAAGGTCTATATTTCGATAATATTTTATTAGCCGGTACTATTAAAATATCTATAAACTCCTAATATTCCTCCGGAATCCTAAGTATATCGCTAGTTATATATAGCTTTTTATATTTAATTATTATATAGTCTTTTAACTCTTAGTCGGATATATCTAGTAATTATTCTATAGTATCTAAGGCGACGCCTATAATTAATACTCTAGTCCTTATACTTTAGGACTATTTACTACGCTTGTTTCGTTAGATAGACTTCTATCGACGTATCTTATACTTATTATATTCCTATATATACTTATACTTATCGAAGGTAATTCGTCCCGATTACTAATCGATATTTAGGTTATACTTCCTAAGCTATAGAATACCTAGAATAATATTATAGTCTCCCGTTTCTAAGATATTAAACTATATTAACTCTAGGTATCTATAGATAGATATAAGTAATATAATAGTTTCCTCGCTAACTCCTCCCGAGAGTACTTCTCTATCGAGTCCTATAACTAGTATTATATATAGTAGGGGTTCGGTCGTAACTTATCGATCTTCCTTAAACCTTAGGTTTATAAAATTGTTAGTAGCTCCCGAATCGATAAGAGTCTATACCTTCCCTATAGGTAGGATTATATATAACTTAATATATATTCCTAATATTATTACCGCTAGATATATCGTTAGTCGACCCTTATAGTCGTATATCTAGCGCCCGTTATACTAAATTCCTTAATACCCCTTCGTCTATTATAGCTTCTTTATCTACTATAGTAGTTTCGGTTCGATACTATAATCTAACTTTACTAACCTATAAATAGTATACGTTTCGTTATAGTATATAATACTAGCTATTTTGCTATATCCTAGGTATCGCGTATATCCTTTATACGCGTAAGTAGAATTTTCGTAAGGGTATCCTACTAGGTCGTCGCCTTCCTTAATTACGTCAATAAGGTACTAGTCTAGTCTACTAGGCTATATCTTTCCTTCGAGATATCCTATAAGCTTTTTAGCTTCTTTATTATCGTGATAGTTCGTAGGGCTTTCTATTAGTATTTCTAGATAATCGAGTTCTAGCTCGTCGGCTAACCCTTTAATATATAGGTTGCCCGCCATTATCTCTTCCGGGTTAAGGCCTTAGTGCCTACCTATAAGATCTTCTAAAAGCTCGTCTCTTAGATTTATAGCGACTCGCCTACTACTTCTAAGGCTATCGATAAGGGTCCCGATCTACCCTCTTAGATCGCCCTATTACTCGTTAGGGTATATTTCCTCCTAGTATTCCTAACTAGCGCTTATTCCTTCGACGCTAGTACCTATACTAGTAGTAGCCTTTCCCTCTTAGGTCGCTTATAGTACTTCGCGTATCGCCTATATATATTGCCTTTTCTTATACGATTTCTTCTATTTATATTCCTTCGCGTAGTATCCTAGTTTCTTATAGGTAAAGTAAAGATTTTTATTATAACGCTCTTTTTACTTATTATAAGTAGCGTCTAACTCTATTAGCTTTAGGCTATATAGATCGTTATCTTATAGTATCGCTCTATTATAGCGTCTACCGAATCGGTTAAAGTTATATATCTTTCTATACTTCTATAATTCTATTTCGTATCGTTCCCTTCTTCGTTCGCTATTACGGTTATCGATCTTAACCGTAATCTTAATAAGTTAATTAAGCTCTTCTAGCTAATCTATTCGCGCTAGTTTATCCTTAATATCGGATTTTATTCTAGCTTCGAAGTAAAGAAGGTATACTCTATCTAGCTAATCTAAATAAGAGATAATTTATAAGAACTTAGAGGTATAGCTTAATATAATTCCGGTTTATTAGATTCGTTATAACTTTTTCTAGGCTATTCTTATAGCGTTAATATCTCCGAACGTATTTTCGAGGTATCGACGGAAGTTACGATACTCGCTAAAGATATTTATCGTAGTATCCGACTATTCTTTAGGTTTCTTTCTATAATAGTTACGGATATAAGATTCGAACTAATCCTATACTTAGCTATATAAGTAGATTAATATAAAAATTACCTTACCGGCTTCGTTAGGTATCTTAGCGCTATTTATATCGAGGTATATATCTATCTAAGTAAGGAATCCTCGAAGTTTAATTCGGTTTCCCTTAAAGAACTTAGCTTTAGATAGTCGTAGTACCTAGATAGTACTAATAGATATAGAGGTATTAACTTAAGCCTTAATTTATTTAAGATAGTTATCGACCTCGCTAAACTTAGTACCGCTTTATTTACCTAAGTTACTAAGCTAGTTTATAACCTTCTTAAGGTTATACTTAAGTTTATTAATCTTTCGCTTCTATTCTATAATAGTATTATCTCTTTCGATATTAGAGTCGGGGTCCTCTACGGGTAGAGTAACTTACTCCCGAATAGGCTTCTTCCTAGTACTAGCGTAAGATATATTACTTATTATAACTCGAAACTTAATTCGAGACGGTCTTTAATATATTATATACTAGCTAACTAGTTATAGTTAGGTTAGATAGGTTTAGGGTATACTTACCTTAATACTCCTCGAATAGTCTAACGTTAATAATCGGGTCTTAACTAAGCTAATACCGCGCGGGGCCTTATAGTAGCCTAAGTCCTTTTAAGCGATTAAGGAATTGATACTAGGTAGAGCGCCGAGTAGATCTATACCGGAGTATTAGTCTACTCGTAAGTATTATTAAGTTATAATTAAGTAAAGAGTTATAGTAATCTAAAAGATAAATATAAGTAACAATATATAATTGAAGACGAAGAACTAAACTAAGTATATAAGGGAGTGTCCTTATATATCCTTCGTTTCCTACTCCCTAAGTGACTCCCTTAGAGTCGCTACTAGAGTCGCTAGTAACTCCCTAGGTATACTCCCTAGGAGTAGGTCCTAGAGTCACGGTTACGTATTCTAGGCGGTCACGGGTAATCGGTATTGTTATAAGGTAGAATTGCTATTTACCCCGCGAGGGCCGGTAATAGCTACTATCTAGTAAAACCCTTTTCTGCTAGATACGTTACACGTGATTTCCATCTATTGGCTCTCGATGGCCTATTAGTGTGCCTATGGGTCACCACTGATTGGTGACGGATAGGTCCGTAACAGATAGCTATATTGAAAGTATAGCAGCGAGGTATAATTTGATCACTATAAGGAAAGTGGGATCCCTACTAGCTATCGATCAATTGATTCCGTACGATAGAGTGGCGTCACTGAGTTAGATTCATAGTTTCTAGGCCAAGGTAGGATCTACTCAGTATACCACTACCATCACCCGGCTAGATACTATAAAAGCTATAGCTAAACTAGCTAAGTTCCTCACCAACCCCGGTCCCAAGCATATTGATGCTATCGACCGAGTCATACAATACCTATACGAAACCAGGTACTAGGCCATTAAATATAGTTCCAGAGAGAGAGATCATCAAGATCGACATAACAAGAACCACGGTCTCCAGCTAGCTACAAAATCAATTGAATTTGCAAGCGATACATCGTTTAGAGACAACAAGGATAGGAAAAGCTCCGAGGGTTATATTTATAAGCTGTATAGGGGCCCCATAGATTAGAAAGCAACTAAGCAGAAGACGGTGACCACGTCGACCACAGAGGCAGAGCTACTAGCTCTAGCCGAGGCAGGCAAGACCGTATAGTAGTGGCGTCGAGTCCTCTCTACATTAGGCTTCCAACCTAATCACCCACTATCCATCATATATGATAACCAGCAAACCGTCGATTTGTTAACAAAGGAAGGGGCAGCGATACATACGAAGCTCCGACATATTGACATTAATCGTTGCTGGATAAGACAGGAGGTTAGCGAGGGTCGAGTCAATGTTGACTAGGTTCTAACTACGGCTATGCCAGCAGATAGCCTTACGAAAGCACTTCCGAGACAGAAGCAGCATCTCTTTAGAGAGCTGATTGGGATGAGAGAGATCAGTCATCTGATCCGAGAAACAGAGGCTATTTGAAGAGAGTGCAGAAATGAAGGAATTGAGGCTGTTGGAAGGCCTGAAATTGATGAAATTGAAGCCATTGGAAGGCTCAGAAATGAAGGAATTGACAGCTCTTGAAGCCAGGAAAATGCAGGCTTTAAGAACTGGGGGGTGTGTCGAATACTAAGTCCGAATACATGGTAGAAACCAGGTAATATACCGGAAACATCATGTGACATTGGGTACCAGGCATACCATACAAAAGTGCATATTACAGTTAGTCATCATGGTCCGCACAGATTGTTGAAATAGCGGGTTTTGTCATTTTAGTTAGTTAGAGTTGTCAACATTGGTCATTTATACCATACATTGTTCGTACACCAGCTTTCCGTCAGATAGCAATCATGGAGGTCCTGCGGCTCTTAGGATCACGTGATATGGTACGTGACCAATGGACCCAACAGATATCCACCTTTTTTGCTGCCCGCCACTACTACCTGCAATATGACCCACCAATTGTTGGCGGCCAGTCGGTCCTGGGGTACATTCCGATAGCCTTCGTAGTATTTGATTCGCTCATAGATCAACCCGTCGGGTGGTCGGTTGTCGTTCGAGTATCTATGCGTGTGAACGATGCCAATATGCATAGAACGGTAACTTTGTCTCCTGTCGACCGCGTACGGATATCTCTGAATCTACACGACACTAACTAATTAAGCTAGGGAGCCTAGCCTGTAGATATATTTGGTTGATCCTTGGCTTAGGACTCTCATCTTATCGGAGCAGGAGCAGGTTATCTGGGTGCCTGGGTCTTCGGGTTCTTAGGTTCTGGTCTGTGCACAGCATATCCTCGTCTTGAGGCGGGGTCCTGGCGGAAACTGGGCGATACTTTGTCCTCTAATTTGACACATTTCTCTTCCAAATTCTTGATATCCGACCTTTTTTGTTCTCTCTCCCTCACCATCTGCAAGTTCAATACCGTCATAATGGGCTTCACCGACCTGCTCTCGGACTCTGGTCTTACTGGTATGTAGTGGTGTGTGATGCATTTACGAGCACCGCCTAACCGGACGTAGTTCTTAACAGCTGGTTGGCCACTCGCTCCTACATTGTCGGGTATGTTCCAGTCTACTTTCTGTTCTTCTCCCCAATCCCCAAGCTTAATAACATGTGATACAAATTGGTTCGTGTTTTCCAGCAGCCTCCAGACCTGCAGATGACGACTCAACAAGCATTTTGTTGCATTTCTGAACCCTTTTCCTTGCACTTTGCTGTTGTTGCCGCCTGAATCCCTCCTCCTTCGGCCTCCCACTGACTCATCGCGTCAATAGCTTCTCGCCGTCCCAGGCCGATGTGGCCGTCTTCAAGGCCCTGAGCGCTGCCCCTGAGGTTGCCAAGTACCCGCACGCTGCGCGTTGGTACAAGCACCTCGTTAGCTACGATGACGACTTCGCAACGCTTCCCGGTGATGCGGCTAAGCCTTACACCGTCTACGGTCCTGAAGTCGTCGCTGCTACTCTGAACCCTGCCAAAGCCCCGGCTGCTGAGGAGGACGACGACGATGTCAGCCTGTTCGGCAGCGACGACGAGGAGGAGGATGCTGAGGCCGCCCGCGTCCGCGAGGAGCGTCTGGCTGAGTACCGCAAGAAGAAGGAGGCCAAGCCTAAGGTCGCCGCGAAGTCTGTAGTCATCTTAGACGTCAAGCCCTGGGGTACGTTGAGGCTCGACATGCATTTTAGTTGAATTTTCTCGCTAACAATGACTCCCCAGACGACGAGACCGACATGGCTGCCCTTGAGGCTGCCGTGCGCGGCATCGAGAAGGATGGTCTGGTGTGGGGTACTTCCAAGTTGGTGCCTGTTGGTTTCGGTATCAAGAAGCTGCAGATCAACCTTGTCATCGAGGACGAGAAGGTCAGCTTGTCCGACCTCGAGGAGGAGATCCAGGAGTTCGAAGACTACGTCCAGTCGACGGATATCGCTACCATGAACAAGCTTTAAGCTCCTGGCCCTGCGGACCTCCGCACCTAACCCGGACCTGAGGGTCGATAGGTTTGGTGTAGGGTTACCCTCATCAACCCGCATGTGCAAAAACTTTTGACACCTTACCCCTTTCGGCTGGATAAAATGGATGATTTATCTCTGTTTTTCATACTTGTTCCGTTAGCCTAAAACCATATCATTAAATACTCTATCAATATAAGGAATTATGAATGAAGAGTCATATAAAAGTAACTAGTACGCGTCTTCACCTGTAAATTCTAAGTAGTATCTAATGATTTCGATGTTAGATATGGTTAATAAGGGTTATCGATAAAACAGCATATAATGGTATTGATATATATATTGAATATACTAAAGCGTTATAGTAAGAGTATATAAGCTATATAGAGAGCTTTAACTATTACTATAATTAAGGATGACACGGTGAATGGGAGGCCAGAAACGGCCGCTTTTGACGCCGTTTTAGGCCGCTCGCTCACCGTGATGGGTCTTAGCGTTACGTGCACTAAAGCCCACGGCCAACCCCGTTTACTACCACCTATGCTTCGGGTTGGCCGTGCCTAGTGCCTAGGCCTATTGATCGACCGATATCTATTCGTGCCGCAGCCGCTATAGGGCCCTATCCTCGTCCACCCTTAATCACCCTCCTAGCGGAGGGGAGCTAAAAATAGCTCCTCTGTTCACCGTTCTACTTCCCTAAGTTTCTATAAATATCGACTATTATAGCCCCGAACGATAGTCCTCCCTCGCTCCCTAGTAACTCCAGCCCTAGTTCTAGGTTTCTAACGAGTGACTTACTCAAAGTAAAATAATATCACTATCGACTATTCTCTCGTACTTCTACTTATCTTCGCTACTCTTTCCCCCTCTTTAAACCTATACTACGTTCCGCTGCTATACCTTCTCTATATCCTACTCTATCTAATAATAAGAGTAATATTAACTTACGCCTACCCGAGATCTTCTCGAATAACGCTTCCGACTCTAATTCCTCTACCGTATCTAGCGTCTTCGACTTAAGTAGCGAATCCGAATCCGAGTCTAAAGATAAGTCCGAAGATAAGCTAGCTTTAGAAGATAAAGAGAAGTAACTTCTACTAGAATACTATCTCTAGGAGGCCGAGTCTCTTAATATCTCCTAGCTCCGATAGAAACGCTATAGCCCGAAAACTTAGGAGAGATTAGATAAGACGTAATATTTTTAGGATAGGTAAGATATCCTTATAATATCCCGCTTCTATTACTAGGTTTGCTAATTATTCTAGGTTCTATAATAGTATAAAGCGCGGTCTAGTAGAATATTTATCCTAGCTCTCTAATATAAAGAAGACGGTACGCTTTCTTAAGGCTCTCTTCTCCTAGCGGTATAACTAGCGATATAGAAAGGATAGATGTCGTACCTTAGGAGTAAAGACTAAAAGCTCGCTCGACTTATTCTAGAAGTAGTAATATCTAATCTATAAGGCCGAGGTTAGATATAAGTTTAGTAAAGATATCTAAGTTAAGATCCGCGATATAAGATCCTAATTAAGTATCGAGATCGGTATAAATAGTACGCGACTAACGTTCTATAGATACTCGCGATAGTTACTAGAGATAAGAAACTTTCCTTTAAAGGTCGACCGAAAGCGACTATATATATTAAAGATATAGCCGAGTTTACTTAAGTAATCCTATCTACGATAGAGATAACTTTTCCTTATAGCTAGTACCGGATATAACTCCTCCTTTTCTACTAGCTAGCTACTATTACTAGTAGCCGTCCTAGGGCGCTACTAAAACTTCGCTTCTAGGATCTTAAATTAATACTAGTTCGGGATCTAAATAGAGGACGTCCTCGACTTTTTATCTATTTAAGACCTAAATTTATAAAATCATTTCTTAGTAAAAAAGAGTTATAAGAATATCCCCTTACTAAGCTATTCCTTATACTTATCTTTCCTCTAGTTATATACTTTTTAGCGCCCTTTTACTTATTATTTCTAATTAGAAATATATTCCTAATTCCGGAGATTATCTTTAATCCTATATTAGTCCTTAGTCCTTATATTTTCCTACTAGGTATACTATTTAGAATTAGCGTATTTAGAAGTCTATTAAAAAACGGCTCTATAATAGACTACCCCGAGAAATTATACTATCTTCGGATCCTAGATAGACTTAGTTAATAGGAATTAAAGCTAAAGGACGAAATTCTCGATTAGAATATATTTTGCTAAGTAATATAAGAGGCTAATAGCCTTCGAATCGTACTCGAAAAGGGACTTACTAGGTTATAGCTATATTATAGAATAAAACGAGGTAGTAAGATTACCGGCTTCGCGGAAGTCGCGAAGCTATATTATCTCCGATATAGCGTAGTAAAAGCGTTTAACGATAGTTATAAGTAATATATTATATATATATAACTTTTAGCTAATACGTTCCTCTCTACTAGCGGACGTATCGAATAAATTATAGAACGTAATACTATAGTACGCTAGTATTAATACTTTTGTCCGGTACTATAGTATAGGTATCTATATAGATACCTAGGTAATTATATAGGGTATACCCGCTTAGAAATAGCTTATATAGTTTGCCTACTTAATAAGTCGATCGATTAATCCTTATAGACCCTATCGGCTTAAAGATTCGAGTTATATTAAAGATATTCCCCATATACATACCTTAGAAGATAGAAAATAGGTAAGAAAGCGAATTCGAGACTCTAAGAAGTATATCTATAAAGAAATATACGCTAAATTATAGTAGGAGTTCAGCGATATCCTACTATAGAGTAGCTCTTATTCCTAAATAATCCGTAAGTAGTAGAAGGCTAAAGAGAAAGGTATTAAAAAGTTATACTAGAAATTTAATTATATAGATAAGTAGTATAATCGTATAGTAAAGTAATTACGAAACGAGAAGGGATAGTAAAAGCACCGATTAATTCGTAAAAATCTAGAGTAATATAAAAATAAGTAGCCGGTAATTAATAGTAAGCGATAACTTTCCGGAAAAGTTATTAACGAAGAAGTTATAGGGGCGTTATAGCGTACCGGCTATATAATACTATAGTATATAATACTTATCGATAGTATTCTAACTCTACCGGGTATAATAGTCGAGAAAGAATATAAGCGTCGAATTGCTATAATTAATATAGTAATTATAGTCTATAATATAGAAGAGGGTACTCTCTCGCGGCCTTAGGCCCTATAAAAACGTACCGCCGATACTACTAATATATTACCTACTACCGCTCTACCTAAGAGGTAGAAGCCTATCCTCTTAAATAAGAATAGTAATACTTTCTCTAAAGCGATCGCTTCTATTTACGTTAAATATCTAGGAGAGAGACTAATAATCTACTTTATTTGTCTTAGTAATACTAGATTACTAGAACGTAAACGCCTAAAAATATATAAGAACCCTAGGTCCCTTAGCCGATACTTCGTTAATAAATATATTAAGCCGTTCCTAAATAATATATACTATAAGTATAATATTTATAGGGAAAAGCTAATATTAAAATCGGGACTCCTAAACTATATATAAAGAATATATAGAACTATCTTCTACCTACCTTTACTAGCTCTTAGCCTACCCCTTTTTTAAATATCCTATATTTCTTATTTCTCTATTAAATATATCCTATAAAGCGAGGTTAAGCGTATATAGTATATAAATATCCGATCGTATAATTATTAATTTTAGGGAAATTTATTAATAACTACTCCTAGTTAAGATATCTAATAACGAGTTATAATAATAAAGTTAGAGTAATAATATAATTAGTAAGTTATAGTACTACTTACGCTAAATCTTCTTATTATAGCGAGCGTTTAAATCTCTATCTAAGTATCCTACGCTAATTATAGAGGCTAGAACTTTACTTAGTAGGCTAGTATAAGGCTCTTTAGAAAAATAGTCTTTTCTTAGCGGTTTATCTAGTACTTCTCTATACTTTTTATAATCCTAAGAACTACCCTTATAAGCCTCGAGTTAATAGTTGATTTCTATTATACTAGCTTTCCGCTCCTACTTAGTATATACTCTTTAGAATCGATCGTATAGGTTTACTTCGAAGGTACGGCTATTATAGCGGAACTAATCTTTAATAGCGTTATAAAAGCGTAATATTTGCTAGCTAGCTAAGGTTAGCTAGATAACCCCGCCTTCTATCTATAAAACCCCCCGCTCTACTAAGGCACTTAGTTTAGGAAATATTTACTCTATATATAATATATAATAGTACTTATTTAGTTCTATAGCTAGTAAGATTTAAGGTAGGTTTTAACAGGGCTATAAGGACTTACTAAAGTATCGACTAGAAAGGTCCTTAATATTAAAACGAAATATAGACCTAATATTAGGTTCTCTATTTAACTTTCTAGGAATATAGTCCTAGAAGCGATAATAGCTTCTACTACTAGGATTGGCTTATAATAGAATTACTTGTTTCTAATCGGTAAGCTTATCTTTAATATACTTTCTTTTAAACGCGACTCGCTTAACTAGGTCCTATATAATCCTCTCCTACTTACTATCGTCTTTATCCGAGGGATTATCGAGGTAAGTTTCCTCCGGAGAGAGGTTGACTAGCCTTTTATAAGAAGTTATACTTTTTATAATAGACTTAACCTTAGGGGAATATAGAAATAAATAGGAGGAGTTATACTTATAAAGGAAGTAGGATTATTTCTATAAGAGGGGAGAGAAATACCCTTATAAAAGGTCCTAGACCTCTAGTATCTTACGTATAGTAGCCGAATACTACTAATATTATATAGAGGAGCCTTAACCTATTAACCCTTAGCTACGTACTATCTTATCGCCTACCTATTAATTAACGCTATAATTAGAAAATCATAGTTTAAGACCCCCTATTAGGCTTATAATTGGTTTATAGGACGATAACTAATTATACCGTTATAACGTATTTTATAAAAGGGTATATTTAGTAAATACGAATATATCGGGTCGATAATTAGCCTTTAAAGAGATAACTAAATATCCTATTTTCAATAATAAATTCTATATATAGAAGAAGGCCCCGTAAAGAAGAAGGTCCCGTATAGAAAAGAAACTACGTACGGAAGAGGGCCCTATATAGAAGAAAATTACGTATAGAAGAAGGCTCCGTATAGAAGAGATCTCCGTATAGAAGAAGCCTCCGTATAGAAGAAGAGTACGTATAGAAGAGATTTCCGTATAGAAGAAATCTACGTATAGAAGAAGGCTCCGTATAGAAGAAGACTACGTATAGAAGAAGTCTCCGTATAGAAGAGATCTCCGTTTAGAAGAAAACTACGTATAGAAGAGGGCTCCGTATAGAAGAAGGCTCCGTATAGAAGAAGGCTCCGTATAGAAGAAGGCTCCGTATAGAAGAAGGCTCCGTATAGAAGAAGTCTCCGTATAGAAGAAGACTACGTATAGAAGAAGTCTCCGTATAGAAGAGATCTCCGTTTAAAAGAAAACTACGTATAGAAGAGGGCTCCGTATAGAAGAAGGCTCCGTATAGAAGAAGGCTCCGTATAGAAGAAGGCTCTATATAGAAGAAGGCTCCGTATAGAAGAAGACTATAATATAGAGGCTTATAGAGACCTAATTACTAACCCAAATAGGGCTAGTAAATACAAGATATCATTAGCTAGCTTAGCTCCCTAGTCTTCCTACTCTAAGGTAGAGAAAGGAGTCCTAGACAACCCTTCTTAGGATCTTTAGCACGTCCTTATCTCCGGCTAATACCGAACAACTTTAATATTATTATTATAGGGCTAGCAAAAACAAGCCTTACTTCTAATCTAACTACCTAAATATCATATAAATCGTTTATAATAACAAATTTCTAAGATAGGTAGATAAAATCGAGGAGAAAATAATAAGACTTAAACTTTAAGAAGGTTAAACTTTAAATAAGCCTAAATAAAAGATCCCTTTAAAATTTTATATTCGGAATATTCGACCTTTAGGAAAATTGCAATACGTAAATTTTAAGAGGCGGTATAATTTAAGTGATTATAAAATTCATAGCCCGAAATTTTAGACCCCTAAGAATATTCTATTATCCTAAAGCTTATAGACCTATAATTTTTTACTCCGTCGGTATTAACCGGATATAGGGAATTAGCGTAATAGTTATAAGGTATAAAAGCGTAATATAAATAAGATACGTAAGTATAAGCGCCTATAAGATAAATATAATATATAGCTACTTCTACATTCTTTTATTCTCGGCCTTCTAAGGGAAACTTTCTTAAAATACGGTTACTTTCCCGATCGTAGTCTTTAAATATCGTGGTCTTTAAATATCGTGGTCTTTTCGTATTCTATGATTAATAGCTCCCCTTTATACAATAACATTTATATTTATTAAGCCCTTTCCTATTAGCGGACCTAAGTCTTATAAGAGCCCCCTCTATCTATATTTTTCTATATAGGTTTCTCTACTCCCTAAATACCCCTAGATATCAAGGCAACGTGCCTAATAGCCGCTATCAAGGCTACTAGGTCAAAGGATACCACTTCGAAAAGAAAATTGATATAGCAAAAACAATGTCGCCGTAAAACAAGTCTAATAAAAAAGGCATATAAATATAGTAGGATATACAGCGTAGATGTGTGCGTGGGAATTCGTATCCGAGAGACGGGCCAGGTACATATACAGTAGCGTCCGATATCGCCTTCCACGTCTCGGACAGAGATACTCTTTCAAACCCTAATCACATGATACGGGAAAAATAACATGTACTGTGCATACCCGTAATAATACCAGTTTCTTTTTATAGATCGTGAACAATAACAAACCCGCTATTTCGATCAATCTATGCGGTAACGATGACTAAACGTAATATATAGTAACTACTCGAAGTCATATGATGTACAGTGACTCCGCAAAAGTGTTAACACCCCCTTCCGATACCGCCTTCCTAATAAATTATACCGCCTTCTTAATTTGATACACCGCCCATTACTCCTTGGGTTTCATTGGTGGATACTTAACCGGCAGAATCTGGGGTGTTAACACTTTTGCGTAGTGACTGTATGTGGTATAATACCTGGTTTCTACCATGTATTCGGACTTCGTATTCGATAAAGAGCCTAAAATTAGAGACCGACCACACCTATTCTAGGCCCTGTTTCGTTATAGACGTTTAGTGGGTTCGAATAGGGGACTATTATAACAAGCGGATCCTCCGGAACGCAGGGTTTTACCCACTTATATAGTAATCAAGCACAACACTAGTCTTCTCTTCTAAACATCATCACTTTCAACGCATCCTATATATATAAGTCGCCTCTTTCTTCCCTTTGAATTCGAGCTCTATTCCTTATATTAGTCAATCGCTACCATGAACAGAATGGCTTAGGTCTAAGGCCACTACGACGCCCGGTTTTCTAAGCTACGCGACTTGATATAAGAGTTCATCGCGTCTAGACAAGATATCGGTGCCAGCCTATATATTAATATTAACGGCGATAATATAATGGATTTATAGGGGGGCTACGCCGACGTATCGACCGAGAAACCATAGGAAAGGGATATGATAGTGAATATCTTCTCGACCACTAAACTAGTCACTAACCTAGCGGCTCTAATACTAATCTCGCGTAGTGTGCTTACCCCCGAGGATAAGGTAGGCTAGTACTAGCCTGAGTTTATAGCAAACGGGAAGTCGGAGGTCACAGTCGGCTAAGTACTA